GTTGTTTCCATGGTGATCCCCATAGCCAAAACGCTGCCCTGAGCTAGACTTGCCCTGATGTCGACATATCAACAAATTGAGAAGAAAACAACACCGGAAACACGGTGGTTTCATGACTTAGAAATGCTGGAGTGTGGGTGTTACATGGGTGTTACTATATATGTTGCTTATTGGGTAATAACATCTAATAACCCGAGTGAAGCCTGGCCAAGGCATGCCAAGGCCTGTGACAACGCAGCACACAAGCATATAGTTTGGTCAAAGCCCTCAAACAGCTAGCAAAGCATCAAAAACACTTGTAAGGACCAAAAAAACTGGGGACAAAGTGCTGCTTTGGCAGAGGCAAAACTGTCACCTTGTATAGAAGCTCAGCTTTGAAAGCCTAGTGATCACCAGTTACAATGGGATATCACTAAGTCCACGCTAAATGCGGAGCCCTCTAGGCCCTGGACAGCCTCATCGAGGAGTGCTGCCAGGCTTCGCGTGCCGTAGCTGAGTTCAGGGTGCCATTGAACAGCGTGGCACCCGAAGGTGAATCGTTTTCCAACGGCAAAGCACACGCCACCGATATCAAGATGATGGCTGTACTCATCGTTGGTTGCTTTTTCGCCTCCCTCAACATTTAGTCCAAAGCTGTTTCTGAAGGTGGCAGGCCAGATCTTTCCATCCTGGCCAAGAACAGGGTGGGATCCTAAGAGATCTCTTGTCATCCTTCTGACTCCGATGGCAAGGCCACGATCCCCCATACCCGCGAACGCTCACCGTATGTTCTATCCAAGGAAGTCAGTGTGCGGAGCCATATGGTTGGGAAACTGGCCCCGCAGGGAATTTCGACTAGGTCTCTTGGGCAACTTGGGCAGTGTGAAACCCATTAATATGGGCAAGTGAATGGGATACATCGGGATAAGTAACAATGATAAAGGCAATCTAATGGGATATCCCAAAAAACTGATATTAGTTGAAGGACATGTCATATGACAGTACATCTCTCCAGAACAATCATGAATTTCAAATAATATCATATAATCATCTTGTCTGGATAATCATCTTTTTATATTATTTTTCTGGTTCCATAGGATCACTATCTTCCTCTCCAGAAAATCACCATCTTTAAGTCTTCAAGTTCGAACATATCAACTATCAATGGATATCAATGGCTCATATTCATTTTCCATAGCTATCTTAGTTTACCAGAGGATATATCAACATTATCTGGTTGGTGGTTTCAACCCAAAAACTCCCAACCTTTGGACCCGCCCGTCACCGCTCCAGGCTTAGGAGGCCGTGGTTGGCCTCTTCCGTCCGGTCTTGCAGGTGGATCTAGCGGCTCGTGGTGGAAGCAACGAAAAACCATGGGTTTCATAAGATTTTCCTGGGACGCAATAGGATAAACTGGGATATTTGCATATTAATGGATGTAATGGGATAATGGGATATATGATATATATATGATATATATATATATATGTTACACTGTCTATACAAAGGGATGTAGATTAACATGCGAGATTAATGAAATCCACATATTATATAATATAAGTTAGCCTCAAATATAAAGGTGCAATGGAAAATTGTCTTTAAATGAAGGATTAAATGGGCTATACCTCTCCAGTACTTTGAGACTGGACCTGTTTTTGGCCCAGTCGAACGGACCTAAAAAATTGAATTTTCCAGAGAGGAAGATGGTTTCAGATGGGTCAAGTTGATTTCCACCATGAATTATGACTGGTTGGTGGTATACTACCCCTCTGAAATGATGGGTAATATACTGTTAATATACTGTTAATAATGGTTAATGATGATTGTTGTCATATGGTTAATGATGGTTAATAATAATCTGGTTGGTGGTATACCTACCCCTCCTAAAAAAAATATGACTTCGACAGTTGGGGTTATGACATTCCCAATATATGGAAAACAAATGTTCCAAACCACCAACCAGATGATGGTTTAAGATGGTTGTAGATGTTTTTGTTGCTGGGTTTGAGGCATTTTTTGGGGGTAAATGATTGAAGAGATTCGATGAATGGAGCATCTGGGATGCTTAAAAATCTGATGGTTTTGGGCTACAACTTTACTGTGGTAAAGCTAATGATAAAACATCCCCAAAATCACCATAAATGGGTACTATATAGACAATCCCCAAACGGTAGGTTTATGACATTGGGTTTACCACATATATATATATATATATGCATTATCTAGAAATGTGTATGTATATATATATATATAATTATATATATGCATATGTCTACATATTTTATCAATCCGTGTTTAGCTAACTGTTCACATACTGCTTACATACCCACATCATCCTACATCGCTCGGCTCGCTCACCTGCAGGTCCTGAATCTTCAAAGATAATTTATAGCACTGATCCTCGCGGACGTTTCGCGCCGGAGCTTGGCGGGAGCCAACGGGCTGGGAAATCCTTGCGAATCATCGTAAAGCATCAGTCTCAACTGGAGTCATTTTGTGAAATTCATGATCAGTGATAGATTGACAGTAACAATCAGTAGATTCACTAGATCTTCGACATCATAATCATAATGATGAAACATACCAGTCAGAGCAAGAACAGTGATGCCAAGAAAAAAACATGATAATCAAGGATGAACTTGATACGAACCATTGCCATCATCCACCAGCAGCACTCCTATCACCAACATCATCATTGTGTAAACTACAGTATCAGGTGTCGGTGTCCTTATGATCATTGACTTAGGGATGTTTATTGTGCAGCATTTTCAGCCTCAGTCTCTACTTCAATTGGAGTAAAAATACCTTTCAGCATCTGTTTTTTTCGGTCAATCTGGATCATTGGTGAGTGTTTTTGGATGGCGACTACCCATTTAGCTCCATGATTTGCTCACCAAAGTCTCAAAACCTTGGGATTTTTCAAGCCATGTTTGATGACACCGAAGAGTGCTATAAATTTTGGTCATGTTCACTGACCATGCGAGGACGGATCCTGAAAAAGTACTATTTTTTTCACAACCGAGGGTTTCTTTCGGTCATCTGCGAGGTCATGTACCATCATTTCAAATTGAATGTCTTGTTCTTGGTCGGTCATCCTGGTTGCTTACAACAAGGTTTCTTGGGGTGCGACTGAAACCGTTCGACCCATGGATGGGTAGCCCATCAGACCACCAAAGAGACCGCTTTTTATACTCGGGACAAAATACCATCCGGCAATCAAACATGGCTTGCTGTGGCTTGCTATGGCTTGCTGGAAAATCCACCATTTGGTTCCATCATTTTTCCAGCTAGCCATTGCTATATAAACAAACTTTCATTTTTCACTAGGCTTCTTCAGCCAGGCATATTACCGGAAGGTAAATTCCATGTTGCATCAGTTTGCCAAGTTTTTTGTCACCCATAATATCTCCTATGTGTCAAACAATTTCTGCTTAAGCTTCAGATTCATATTTGTCAAAAAACAGCATGGGGATTTCACCATTACCGTACAGTTATGGCCCAAAATATCAGTTATAATAGTTATAAGATGTCATAAGTCAGTAGGTCACCCCATGTATGGAATGATAAACCTATTATTATAATCATTAAATCAACATAACCATTTATAATATGGGCGTCAATCCCCATATTTTCCCCATGGTTTTCAAATGGTTTTCTCACTGGTTTCTAGGACTTATAACTGTTAATCATCTTCCCATTTACAACCATGTTCCTATGTTCGTCGTATGGCTTCCCTATGCAGTTATGGCCCTTAACAGTTGTAAATGAGCAGTGTTCAAAATCCCTCTATCATCCTCTATCATTCCATTATACTGGTTTTGAACACTGCTCATTTGTAGATACCCTCTGGTAAACTAACATACGAGTAGCTATTGAACATGGCCATTTATAGCTGATGTACCCATTAAAACTTGTGATTCTCCATAGTTTTTGATGTTTTTTCGTATGTTTACCAGAGGGTACCTAAAACCCATAAGATCCCATTAGCCCCCAGGATTTTCACATTGCCAGTCCTGCGTCTTGGCCACTCTCAGGCGTTGCCTCTCCGCGTCGCCCTCGGCCATGGCTTGGTTGCGAATCTCCTGGCGCTCGGCCGCGCTTTGGCGCGCGGAAGTTCGACAGTTCAAAGCGAGGAAAACCATAGGAGAGCCATGGGAAAATGGTGATTTCACGGGATTTCTAGCCCTAGAAACCAGTGACTTTTATGGTGATTTTGATGGGGTGACTTAGTGACCATACTGACTGACTGATGATTTGTAGCTGATATTTCGGGCCATAACTGGCCAATCTTCTCTTTCAAGCTTCAAATGGTTTGTATAGACTATGTAAATTATGATTATGTCAATGTACATATGTAGGCATATCCTGGTTACACCCCATTTTTGTTGCAACATATGTACTCCGTATTGAACCTTTACCCATCGTGAAATCTACAGTACAAACATAATGTTAAACCACCACGTAGTTGTCATAAGATAAGGTTTATATAATGAGCTAAAACGCTTATAGACTCTTTAAAAAAGGTGGGTGACTGGCAAATGTATCCAAATGTAGGATAGACAGAAACCCTTGAGCCCATCCGAGCCCCATTCTCCAAATGGGAAGCGATCCAGTATCACAAAAAAAGACACCACTGCACCAGGGGAACGTAGATGTTAATTTGTCACTATTGTGGGGTGAACTGCCCTAATCGAGTTTATCAATCCGGGGTTGACATGCTTCGGGAAAGGCATTAGTCATCTGGCTGAGTTAATGATTCACTAACCTGAAATCCCCTTACTATCGCTTGATTTAACCAGATTCCATGTGGGTCCCATAAAAAAAAACCTCCAAATTCAGCTGATGATATCCCCAACATTAAAACACTTAAAGCCCTTTACCAACTATAAATGGTTGTAAATGGTCAAGAATAGGGTAGTCATTCCGTAGATGTGGTTTTTACTGACCTAGACATACCTAGACTATAACTGGTATTTCGGGCCGAAACTGTAGAGATTGGACAACTTCCAACACGACGTAGTTTTCAATCCGCCTAAGTTTGATTGAGGTGCTTTGCACCTTGTTTCAACGCTCCGGCATGAATTCAGTTCAACACTACTGTACTCGCTTTGCAAGTAGTGTCCAGTACTCTTCGGTATGCAAAGGACCCGTGTGAAATCAAGGCATATCAAGGCTGAAACGACTGCACCCTAAAGATCCTACAGAGATAGATCAGGCATCAAACTGATGCTGAAAGCTGCAAATCTGTAGTGTCGTGTGGCAGTGTCTGCATCTGTTCAATTGACGATTGAAGAGCTGGCAGCGTTTGAGGCGGAAGCTCCTCTTGCTGCTCATGTCTCGAATTGTTGCCTCTTGAGTAGCCTTTTTTCTTTCTTTTCTTTTTTTTCATGACTCTTCCAGGAATCGGAATTTCAACCTTCAGCAGGGGAAGTTCTTTCTCTTCCTTTCCAGGAAAATCCTGATCATCCTGTGCCCGCTGAAATTCTTCCCCTTCCAGGGGATTTTCATGTTCTGGAGCAACCACTTGCAATGTGTCCAGCTGGGCAATGAATAAAACGCATGTTGCGTCCTTGACAAAATCCATGTTCTCGGGCGCTTCCATCAAGACAAAGGGGAGCACCAAGTGCGCTGTTGCAGCAAACAGTTCATTCACAGTGTAGGACATTAAAAATCGGATTCTCGCAAAATGATGTTTGCGTCTGAAACCTCTCTGGTATTTGTAAAAATTCCAGAAAGGTTGACATTCGCCAGGAATGAATGAAGCATCAAACCCCAGTAGGGTCCCAGCAAGGACTGAGCCACACACATATTGCACCCACATTCGATCACTTACACTATCATGGACGAGCTTCTCTCCGTAATAGACGGACATAAGAAGATATCCATAGAGCATGATTTGAATCACAAACATGCACGTGCATGCGAACATGTTCCCAGCATGGAGATCCGTATAAATCGACACAGGGACCAAGTTGTCCTTCTTCTTTCTTGCCTGATCCTGCAATTCCAAGCTCGCGAAGTTCTGATAAAGTAAAAACACCGACCGAGCAAAAACCCCAAGCAGCGCTAGCAACACAGCAAAAGCCGTGGAATGCTTCATAGTGCCATACTCCAGGACGGACATAGAGGCAAATTGCAAAAACAAGCATATGTGGTCCCTTGTTTCTTCGATCCTCTTTTCCTCCAAAGGAGTCTTGTCCGATCTCTTTGCAGCAATGAGAATTGCCTCAATACTATAGTTCTCTCTTCGTCTGTGTAGTCCACAAATACTGCCACTGATGCACCAATGTGCCTGCATGATCACATACAAAAGCACTGGGGTGAACACCAGCAACAAAATTCCTACAACTACCTGGATTTCAGTGAGCCAGTCAAGGAAGATGAACTTGGATTCCTGTGGTGCATGAGAGTCACCGGATATGAAGTTGGCTTCCGGTGTTTGCTCCATCAGCGAATGAATCGGAAAAAGGTCTGAGATGAACAACAGAAGTATGGGAACCGGCACAACAAAAACAACATTGACATGGTTTCAGTAACATAGATAATATCACAATGTTCGATCAATTTTGTCATCTCCGAATCATCCCCATGCTCAAATCGTTTTTTTCCTGTGTGTTTCAGTGTTTCACCACCGATCCTTCCGTGATCTGGCTGAGCATCATGTCATCCAGTCCTGATGAAGTCGCGCTTTGCAGTTGAAGGCTTGCTCTCTGAGGGCTTTATCGAACTGTGCCTGGTGAGATCGACACCTACCGACAGATGGACCTACAAAATCCATCACCGGAATTCATGGGATCGAATTTTGACATTGGAACATCGCTAACATTCCCCATTTTATGAAGAAGGTGTTGTATAAAAAAATACTCTTATGGAAAGAACAGTGATCTATAGACTATAGATTCGAACATGATTTGATTTATAGTCTAGAGTGGTGGGGATTCCCAGTGTTTCATGGATGAGAACTTTGGATAGTTAGATTGGGTTAAACCTGACCCCAATACAATACACAATCATCAAGCAACGGTTGTTGTTTTTGAGCATCGCAGCATGACAGATATGACAGGACATGTCGGCAAAGTCGGCGGGTCTTCCCAATTTACGTGGCGTAGGAAACGTGGCGAAAAATGAGGATCAGCAGATTTAAACATCCAATGTTTAGTACAGTGTGGTGCCCCATAGTTAGCTAAGTTGGTTTGTAACTTCAATAACTGTGGTTTATTGTAGATATATAATATCTATAGTTAATGGGTTTATAAACCAATTTATAATTAGGGGGCCCCACATTGTCATGGATATGTTTTTTTTCTCCATACCAAAGATTGGATGTAAATTGGATGTTGAAATCTGCTGTTTTAACATGTTTTTAACCAACACACAGTAAAATATTGATCCCATACCATGGTGCTGGAATATGCACATCAACATTTGCCCTTGTCCGAAATCACCCAGTTTTCTGGGTAAATATACCAGCACCATGGTTCGGATCTGGGTTATTATCAAATATAATATAGGTATCCATAAATACTATCCATTAATTATACCTATTATATAATGGGATAATATATCCATTATTAATCAGCGTTATTCTTGTTTAATCAGTTTTTTGTCTCCACAAAAATTAACATCTTCTGGAGCCGATCATCATCGTTATTGACGGAACGGAATGTGTACGTTGAATCCGCATGTTTCACGATAAAAAAACGGTGACGCAATCAACACCGATTCTGTGGACACATAGACCTGTTTGAACAGCAACCCAAAGTTTCAGTGCCCTTCCAAGTGAACCAAACTTCTAGGGAAGTCAAACTCGTTGGCTGTCCAGTACGAATGCAATCATGATTGAAACTATGAAACTCTATAAAATACCAAAACAAAACACTTGGCAAACGACTTGATTTGGAAACTTGAACGTGAAATCTTGAAAGCTGCAAATGCCAAATCCCATTGAACTGATGACAGTCATGTCACAGCAAATATTGGATAACTGCTGTGGAAATGCTTTATACCACCCATTTCTGGTGAAATTGGGGATGGCTTATTAAAAGTTGGTGCTCCCCGCTCCCCACAGTAGAATATATGTTGATTCACTGGCAATCTATAGTTATTTCATCACCATTTGACGCTACTATTGCTTGCATCCCCAATGTTGGTGCTCTTCTCATATTTACTTGGTGGTTCGTCCCACTTAGTAAGTGGGTTAGTTCACCCCAGTTGTACGTGAATTAACCCTACTTATCCCATAGAAACAACCAGGGTTATAACCCACTTACGATCCGTGGGATGAACCAACAAGTAATGCTTAAATCCCGACCTGTACCACCTGAGCGCGCGAAAACCCGAATTCGCGAAACGAACCTTGGCGTCTTTGGCCTCCTGGGTCAATGCCTCGGCCGGTTTTCAGCATCAAACATTGAGATTCTTGTGATAGGCAAATTTAGCATCAAGAAATTGGGACTGAAGAGTGGATGTCAAATTATGATTTATAGTTATGTAGATATATTTAGTATCAACCATTGGGGCTCCACCAAAAAGATAAGGCAGAAAATGAGATCGAGAAGAACCATGGAATTTTGAAGAGGGTGAACACATCCAAAATCCTGAGCCTATGGGTTGGGGGCCCACTCTGCATCAGAATTGGGGTACCAATTCAGCCACAGACGGGGCTTCAGTGGGTGTACCGCTTCCGCACTGCTCCAAGTTCGGCGAGTGCACCAGCTACTGGATCTCTTGGATCTTCGGCATTGCAGTTTCCATTCATTTGTTGCAGCTGGGGACTACATCAGATACACCCCACATTTGGCATTGGGACATTGATGAATCTGCCAATGAAAAAACACATATGCAAAGCAAAAAACATATTGCACACAAAAGTGAATGAATTATGATCATTCCCATACCAAATTTATCTGGTGAAGGTATTTGTCGTTTCCGCAATACTCAACATTTTTTTTACAAGGTGGTGCCCCCCAGTTATATATATATATATATATATGTTTGCTTAGAAACACCGTTAAGTATAATTACATAGATATGTCCCCTGTAAACCACTTAGAGATTGGAGTTATAACCAACTTCGCTAACGTAAACGGGGGCCCAATATTGGTGTTCGTTGTTGTCGCGGCTGTGGTCATGTCATTATCCTCGTAGAAAATGTTGCTACAAACTGGTGCCACTGTTCGTTTAGCTCAGTTGCTGAATCTCACCTCACTGGAGGTTATAAACCAATAAACAGGACTAGGTGGCACCACCTTGCAGTGCCTTGCAGTATCAATATCATCTTCTATCAATCTGTTCAGCTGATATAATATCCCCATGACGTACCCAATCAACATGAAACCACCATGGTTGTTACTGGATTGATCTGATGTTGTCTTTACTATCTCAACCGTGGTTTTTTTGTCTAACGGAAGCTACGGGTTTCAGTGTTCTTCGGAACAGGGAGATGTGGAATTGACCATGGAACAGTGAAATAACCACCTTTGATATACTCAAGTCAATCAATGAAAATTACCATGGAAATTACCCTATGCCATTAATTTTTCCATGGTTACCTTGATATACCTTTCATATACCACCATTATCTCAATCAAGGCAGAAAACAACATACCAGGTGCTAATTTGACATAGGGATAGATCCCATGCACCTAATTCGATGATTACCTATCATTTTCATGGAGTGATTTTGCGCAAACCTGCAACAAATTCCGTTGTTGGTACATTTTTGTTTCCAAAGCCGTCAACAAATTCCATGGTACTGCGGATGGAAGAAATCCTGCACCAGTTGATACTGTAGACGGTTTATCCCATTGTTTTTATGGCTTCAACCATACAAGGTGGTGCAGGATTTCTTCCATCCACTGTATGCTCAAGAGTTTGCAGAAAAAACCCGACTGAAAGAGGTAAATCCTCAATGGGCAAGCGTTGGGACCGGTCAAATCACTGTTTTGGCACCTTGGCATAACTTTGCTATCTAAATGACATAGTCCGAATCTCCTTTTTCTGAAGATAAAAACAGATAGATAGATAGATAGATAGACAGATAGATCGATAGATCGATAGATCGATAGATCGATTGGATAGATAGATAGATAGATAGATAGATTAGATTAGATTAGATTAGATTAGATTCGATTCGATTAGATTAGATTAGATAGATTAGATAGATTAGATTAGATTAGATTAGATTAGATTAGATTAGATTAGATTAGATTAGATTAGATAAGATTAGATAGATAGATAGATTAGATAGATTATGATTAGATAGATTAGATAGATTGGATAGGTAGATAGATAGATAGATCTATAGATCGATAGATCGATAGATCGATAGATCGATAGATCGATAGATCGATAGATAGATTAGATTAGATTAGATTAGATTAGATTAGATTAGATTAGATTAGATTAGATAAGATAAGATTAGATAGATAGATAGCTAGGTAGATAGATCGATCGATCGATAGATCGATAGATCGATAGATCGATAGATCGATAGATCGAAAAATCGAAAAATCGATAGATCGATTAGATAGATTAGATAGATTAGGTAGATTAGATAGATTAGATAGATTAGATAGATAGATAGATAGATAGATAGATAGATAGATAAATAGATAGATAGATAGATAGATTAGATAGAGCAGATAGATTAGATAGATTAGATAGAGCAGATAGATTAGAGAGATTAGATAGATGAGATAGAGATAGATTAGATAGATGAGATAGATAAGATAGATTAGATAGATAAGATAGAAACGATAGATAAGATAGATAAGATAGATAAGATAGAAAAGATAGATAAGATAGATAAGATATATAAGATAGATGAGATAGATAAGATAGTTGAGAAAGAAAAGATAGATACGATAGATAAGGTAGATAAGATAGATAGATATATAGATAGAAAGATAGAAAGGTAGAAAGATAGATAGATAGATAGATAGACAGATAGATAGATAGATAGGTAGATTAGATAGAGCAGGTAGATTAGATTGATTAGATAGATTAGATAGATTAGATAGATAAGATAAAAAATAATAAGATAGATAAGATATATAAGATAGATAAGATAGATGAGATAGATAAGATAGATGAGGTAGAAAAGATAGATAAGATAGAAAAGGTAGATAAGATAGATAAGATAGATAGGTAGATAGATAGATAGATAGAAAGATAGATAGATAGATAGATTAGATAGAGCAGATAGATTAGATAGATTAGATAGAGCAGATAGATTAGAGAGATAGATAGATAGACAGGTAGACAGCTAGACAGATAGACAGATGAAAGAGAGATAGATAGATAGATAGATAGATAGATAGATAGATAGATTAGATAGATAGATAGATTAGATAGAGCAAATAGATTAGATGTATTAGATTAGATTAGATCAGATTAGAATAGATTAGATTAGATAGATTGATTAGATAGATAGATAGATAGATAGATAGATAGAAAGATAGATAGATAGATAGATTAGATAGATTAGATAGAGCAGATAGATTAGAGAGATTAGATGGATTAGATAGATGAGATAGATAAGATAGTTGAGATAGAAAAGATAGATCAGATAGATAAGGTAGATAAGATGGATAGACAGATAGATAGATAGATAGATAGATAGATTAGGTAGAGCAGATAGATTAGATAGAGCAGATAGATTAGAGAGATTAGATAGATTAGATAGATGAGATAGATTAGATAGATGAGGTAGATAAGATAGATTAGATAGATAAGATAGAAAAGATAGATAAGATAGATAAGATATATAAGATAGATGAGATAGATAAGATAGTTGAGAAAGAAAAGATAGATACGATAGATAAGGTAGATAAGATAGATAGATATATAGATAGAAAGATAGAAAGGTAGAAAGATAGATAGATAGATAGATAGACAGATAGATAGATAGATAGGTAGATTAGATAGAGCAGGTAGATTAGATTGATTAGATAGATTAGATAGATTACACAGATTAGATAGATTAGATAGATTAGATAGATTAGATAGATAAGATAGATAAGATAGATAAGGTAGATAAGGTAGATAAGATAGATAAGATAGATGAGATAGATAAGATAGATGAGATAGAAAAGATAGATAAGATATATACGGTAGATAAGATAGATAAGATAGATAGGTAGACAGATAGATAGGTAGAAAGATAGAAAGATAGATAGATAGATAGATAAATAGAGGGATAGATTAGATAGATAGATGAGAAAAGATAGATTAGATAGAAAGTTGATAGATAGATAGATAGATAGATAGATAGGTAGATAGATAGATAGATAGATAAATAGATAAATAGATAGATAGACAGATAGATAGATAGATCAGATAGATTAGATAGAGCAGATAGATTAGATGGATTAGATTAGATTAGGTTAGGTTAGATTAGATCAGATTAGAATAGATTAGATAAGATAGATAATAAAAATACGATAGGTAAGATAGATAAGATAGATAAGATAGATAAGATAGATAAGACAGAAAAGAAAGATAAGGTAGATAAGATAGATAAGATAGATAAGATAGATAGATAGATAGATAGATAGATAGACAGACAGATAGATAGATAGATAGATAGAAAATAGATAGATAGAAAATAGATAGGATAGATAGGATAGATAGGATAGATAGGATAGATAGGATAGATAGGATAGATAGGATAGATAGGATAGATAGGATAGATAGGATAGATAGGATAGATAGGATAGATAGGATAGATAGGATAGATAGGATAGATAGGATAGATAGGATAGATAGGATAGATAGATAGATAGGATAGATAGGATAGATAGGATAGATAGGATAGATAGATAGATAGATAGGAATAGATAGGATAGATAGATGGATAGGATAGATAGGATAGATAGGAAAGATAGGATAGATAGGAAAGATAGGATAGATAGGATAGATAGGATAGATAGGAAAGATAGGATAGATAGGATAGATAGGAAAGATAGGAGTCATAGGATAGATAGATTAGATAAATCGATAGATAGGTAGATAGGTAGATAGATGGATAGATTAGATAGATTAGATAGATTAGATAGATTAGATGGATTAGATAGATAGATAGATAGATAGATAGATTAGATAGATTAGATAGATTAGATAGATTAGATAGATTAGATAGATTAGATAGATTAGATAGATTAGATAGATTAGATAGATTAGATAGAGTAGATAGAGTAGATGGATTAGAGAGATGAGATAGATTAGATAGATGAGATAGATTAGATAGATGAGATAGATAAGATAGAAAAGATAGATAAGATAGAAAAGATAGATAAGATAGATAAGATATATAAGATAGATTAGATAGATTAGATAGATTAGATAGATTAGATAGATTAGATAGATTAGATAGATTAGATAGA